GTTCCTTTTGTTTTATTAATAAGTCAAAAGAGTATATATTTCTCCAGTCTGTACAATGAATTCATTTTATGGTAACAAGGGAAGTTCTCTTTTCAGTAATGATGGTTATATTCTGGTAATTTACGTAGCCTAATTGGAATACTTCTTTGTCGTAGTCCTTAAAGATAACTTTTTGGGTGCATTGCCAGTGCATTCTAATGCCAGTTACTCATACAATTTGTCTTATTGATGCCACTCTTCTGTGACTCTATGAGTATTAAAAATTCTTACTGTCATTCTATGGATCCTGTTAAATGTTAAAACCATCTGGGAACGTCTCAATCGATTAGTCTTGTGCAAACATTAGATGGAGAACGATAGCAGTAAATTCCATCTTGAGCTTATGCTGCAACTACTAATGCTTTAGTCCTTATGAAAACCTTCTGAATTTTTTTAAATGTTTAAAGTGATTATAGGGAAAGCTGACAGGTTTAGGGCCTAGAAGTCAGCGCAAGTATCTATTTAGCATTCATACTTAGGAAGTTTGTATAAGAAACAGCAGTTGTAGATATGCAATTTGTACCCTTCTGCATTAGTTACTGTATCAGGGCATGTTTTGCAAGTTGAACGGGGGAGAAAAATCCATTTGCTGCCTGGGTAGTTCCCATTTTTATGTTTACATGTAGTTTACAGTGAAGAAAATGCATTTTTCTTTCCTCTGAGAAAGATGACTTATATCCATTTGCAGTTTGTATGTTATCTGCTGAACCTGGGAGACAGTGTATACTGCCTATAAAGTGTAGTGTCTGTACTGAACTATAACAAATAGTCAGATTCTCATATTTTCCAAGGATTTCAGTCTTAACTGAAGCAGAGCAGGCAGCAGCTTGCTTCACACTCGGAAGATTCCCAAAAGATTGTTGTCTTTTGAGGCAAATAATTAAGCAGTAATAATAATAATTAATCACTGATGACCTCCATCCACTTTTCCTTCAGAGGTGTCCTTCACAGGACAGTGACTGTGAGACACATGCCCTTTGTAGGCAATAGGCTCTTTTCCCCAGTGGGTCATGTTTATTAGTGTGATCCCAAACTCTGGGCCAGCAGTGGAAATGGGAGCCCACATGCTGATTCTGCCCCAGTGTGCTCCTTCAGACCTGTCATGGATCTGCCTCTGGCAGGTCCTTGGGGATAGGAGTGGTTCAGTGGGACAACAGATCATTCCCACTCACTACCTGTGCCATTGCATTCCCTCAGCTGTGCTGAGCCTGGCTTTGTTTCTGCCCAGAATCAAACTGGATGGCCAAGCTGAAGGATAACATTTTTAAATGTCATTGTCTTAAGGCAGTTTTTATAGATTTTGCTCTAAACACATGGAACAAAACCAAGCAGCTTTAAGAGTGGAACATAAAAATATCAAGAACAGAAAGTTTCAGTGCCCATGACCATAGAAGCTCACTAGAAAGCTATTGTATTAGCCTTTGGTATTCCCTTCCCCTTTCTCCCTAACTTCAACCAGAAGTATAATCCGCTTCTGGTCAAGGACAGTGTGGCAGATCCCATAGATTATTATATGTCTGTGGCTGCCAGTGCTGATCTCTGACTTGAGAAGCCACCTGGGCTGGGAGGCAGAGATGGAAGAGGTGACTGCCAGGACAGAAGGAATGTGCTACTGCCAAACCTGAAATGCCCTTTTAAAACAGCGGCAACTGCTGGAATCATCTTGGTTTAATTTTTTAAAACATGGAAAGTTGCTTTCCGTGGCTGCGGTCCTGTTTCACTCAAGAAGGGGCCCCACAGTACCTTACCTGTGTTTCACCTGGCTCTGCCACTGTCTGTGACAAAATCAGAGAATGTAGTTTGAAATTGTGGGCCCAAATAATCTGTGGAGACCAAAGGGGATGTCCCTGCAGAACTTCTGACTGTCGGTATCAAAATTTTGAATCATCCTGATTCTAAAAGAATTTGAAGCTACTTATAGCTTTATCTTCTAGTCTTATCTAATATTGTCTGCTGGAGAAAATACTAGGAAGCCCTAATAACACACACATGCACGTGTATCTTGAGCAAAGATCAAGGTAAGTAGCTAGTATTTGGCTGGTAATTATTCAAGCCTTAGGACACCATTTTCTTGAAAATACACACAAGGGAGAAATGAAAAATAACCATAATAAATTATTAATTTTAAGGAAATTAATATGCTAGCTGCAAAAATAACCACTCTGAAATGCAAATATGGCTAGTATAGTTTAACTGGTTAGATATGTTATAAATATAACAACTATTTGTGGAAGTTATCATAAAAGGTTATTTATAGGTTATCATAAAAGTTAGTTTTGGATACACAGCTTCTCCCACTTTAATTCTATGTGAATTAGGTAAATATAAATTATGCTATTTCCTGCAAATTTTTTAGACTAACTTTATTTTTATTTTGACCTGAATACTTATTCTGTTTATATTTGTAATTCTCCAAGGTATAACTTCATCTGCTATACAAATAGAAAATTTGCTTATTGCTGAGAGAGAAGCTTTTAAATATTTAACAAAATCATGTTATGATTGCAAAAACAGAAGAGGAAAAATTTTGGAAATCAAAATGCTGACTAAATAAAGTTTATGTTTTTAAGGAAAGTGTGATGAATTATAGCTTTGTCTCACATGTATGTGTTTTGAGTGTAATAGTCCTTTGGACTGAATTTATGCTATGGACTGTAGGTAAAGACAGTCACTCAATTATTTTAATTTTCCCCTTTCTCAACGACTTTTACATGTTTAACATGTTTGCTATTAAAAACTTGCATTTCAAAACGATCCAGGCAGATCTTACACTAAAAAATACTTAGAAAAAGTTGCCAACATTTCTAATCATTGCAGTTAATTGTGATATTTAATGTTGGAAATTCGGTATTTGAAATATAACGTTATATGTCTTGGATTGGATTGGCTTCAGATGAGAGAACAATTTGCTTCATCAGACAGATATAAACTTTTCTGTATATAGACATGCACAGTTTTACTTCAGTCAGGAAAAGTTAAGTAGATTTATTTATGCAAACATATTCCTCACCTGCTATGCTACATGGCACTGATAACTTATTCTGGTGGGAGATGCCAGTGGTATCCCAGTGTGGCTCCTCTCAGCTCCTGGAGGAATTCTGTGCCCCTGGGTATGGAGCAGTTCTGCAGCAGAGCCCTTCAAATGTGCCTCGATGTGATCCTTCCCTCAGGAGACACAGCAGCAAGATCCTTTTCAGACAAATTAGATACTTTGAAACCTTAGGGTACCTTAGTTTGCATCATTGATAGTTGAAGAACCCACTATTTGATGGTAGTTTTATAGATTCTTGTGGTCTATGTAACAAACTAGCTGATAATAGCTAATTTGATCAGTATTCTCTTGGAAAAGATTGTCACTGGTTTTTATTTGTTTGAAATCTGGCTATTATGGAAAAAAGGAACATTGTTAGAATGCGTTTCAAATCCTGGACTCTTCAGTTTCAGTCATATCAAGGTAAAAGTGCAAATGTGTAGGTTGGGTGTTTAAGGTGAAGGTGAATTAAATTAGGAATTGCTGTACAATGTTATTCTGTAGAAAGATGCTTTTCCTAGTAGCAGGTATAGTGCTACCATAAGAATATATGGGAAATATTTTAGTCTATTGGGTGCCTTGGTTTTAGTCTTCTAAACTCTTTTGTTCAGAACCTTGTGTTTTAAAATCACAAATGTATCTCTCAACAGTGGAAGATGATTCCCCTTCCAGACTGTAAAAACTAAAACCAGAAAAGAGGAATTGTTCACAGCAGTGCTCTCAGAACTTGATCTTTTGGGCAGTTCACCTGTAAATCTGTTTAATTTCTTGGACTTTCTAGAGGATTCTGGGTGATGTATCTCTTGTTACAATGGAAATCATGGTCACCCAAAGAGCACCTGAAGTGCTTACAGGGTTGCACTGGCAATTAATCTGACTGAAAGCAAAACAAATATTTTTTTTATTGCAAGAAAGGGTCCATATGCTTACAAAGCTCAGTACAAGGAACCTTATTCAGTAATTTTGGTGTTAAACTCCCATGTGCTTTGGTTATGATAGTTACCCAAGTCACTGTTTCTCCAGCTGTGGGGTGACATTCCACTTCTTGAGGACTACAGAGGAATGCCAAAGGAACTGGAAAGGAGCTGAAAAAGTTTTAGAGTTCATATTATTCTACCAGCTATCTCAGAGTTTGCTAGCAGATGCAAACAGAGGGCCAAAGGGTATTTTCAGTAATCTGGGAGATACCGATGGAAGAAATCCTTAAATAGCTCCTTTCCTCTTTATATTCAGATTGTTAAACAAGGGTATTTGAACTGCTTTCTGTGCATGGAAAAACACAGAGGGAATCTGCTGGATATTTCTATTCTAATTTGAAAGAATATAGTATATCAGGGGAATATGAGGGGAAGGCGTATTATGGAAGTGTGTAATCTATTTTTTGCTAATCTACTGTTGTACATGAAAATGAGTGGAAAAATAATCTTGGCAGTCTCTGAATCACTTCAACATCAACACTGACTCCATGCTTTGAAATTGCATATTCTGCCTCATCCACCTTCTGCCTCCTTCCTTGTCTGTAGCTGTAATGAATGTCTGGATAATGCCTATTGATGCAGATGATTGTACTGGCATTTTTGCCTTTCAGTAACCTTCCCTTTCAAGCTATGTTTCTGCACTGATCCTTTGCTCTGCCAAAATTCCTTCCTTTGGTGTATTTTATATGGAAAATGCCAAATACTTACCATTTTCCCTGTGTTTCATTTGCCTGGGCTTATTTAATTTTGTTCTTGCAGGTAAATGATACTGTGAATTACTAGGGGTGTAGGGGATAACAGATGTTTGTGAAATGCAAAATTAAGCCTTCCCTGGCTTTGTTTTGAATTACTGTTTTTCATTCTAATTACATTTCTGGCAGAATTGTAGTTAAAATGAATACTCTTTTTATTTTGTGACAATCTCAGTGATTGCTTTTTCTGGATTTGCACTTTGTCTGGTAAGTTCTGGGTTTGGGTTTCTTTTCTCTTCATGCAACCTCTCTCACTGCCTTCTTCACATGTTTCTGGAGCTCCTGGCTCTGTCAGTGATAAATTTCTACCTAGGATGGGTTTGTTTCTGTCTCTTCTGATTCATTCAGTGTCTTCGTATTGGGAATAGGAGAAAAAAAGTGAGAACTTCTTTGGGTATATGAGAAGACAGAAATCTGCAGTTCAGTACAGTTAGCCTTTAAAAAAATACGGGGGTGGAGGGGCAAGAAAGAGGGATTACTCTGGAAAGCCTCATAGATTATACATCTGCCCCTGTAATTCAAACTGGGACTTAACACAAAAGTAGTGAAGTTGATTGAGTAACTTAATAGTGGCAGAATAATCTCCCTTTTTCAGTGGCATGTGTCTTGGAAACCCTCCCTCACTAACCACCCCCTCATCCTCAAATGTTTGAATGCTGTTTGCTGTACCTGCCAAATATAAAATTAAACACCTGCATGGTTGTTATGCACAGCTGTATCCACCTGCTGAGCATGCCACTTGCCATTTGCTTTGATTAAGAGCAGGTTAAGAGAGACTTTAATTAAAGAAAGTTTGTAACACAGTTAAGCATCCACCTCTTCAGCCTCTTGCCTTGATTATATGTTTTTCTGCTTTTCTACTTGATAAAGGCAAGGTATTGACTCCAGAGGGACACAATTTAATGATAACAATAGATACTGATTTTTCAGTTTAAATATAGAGCATCTAGACAGCATGCTTAGGGACACATTGGCTGGGATTTTATGAACCAGCAGTTCTGTCTGAAAGTGTGGTAGGGGGCTAAAAAACTGCTCTTGGTTGCACAGCCATCATGTAGTGTAGTCATACTGTGTTGTCCCTATTTATAAAGATAATATTTTTCTGTGATTAGGATAGGAAATTATTCCATGGAAAGGCACATAAGCCAAGAAAAGATTTCATAGACCTGTGTCATAATGGGGATGCAAGACAGCCCAGCAGTATTGTGGAGTTACCCCTCTAAATGGCACTTGAGGGCACTGAGGTGAATGACCTCAGTGCAATCCCAAGTAAACATTAGAGCACCCAATCAGTGTGTGCTCAAATCACAAACTTTCTTCTTTCTAATTGCTGTGACTCAGTAGATTTGTGTCTTGATGAGAATTAGCTATACTGAAGCAAACAGTGATAAAATGCATTGAATTATCCCAATGTGCAGTTAGTACAGATGTTCTTTGTGTAGCACCTTTTGCCTTACAGCAGTCACAGCCTTTCTTACTGTAGGTTGCAGTAAGAGGAGTAATCAACTATACATTTAAACAAAGACAAAACATATCCTATGTGTGCATATGATTAAGAAACTCAGAATGAGATCTGGAGGCACGTAGTCTAGTTTGCTGTTAACATCCTGAATTTTACAAGGGAAAAGAGAATGACAAATAATTAGTGATGTTAATCTTCAACGGATTCTGTTTGGTTCTTGGTGGTCATTCTTCTCAAAGGGAAGCCCAGAGGACCTCTCTGGATTGAAACTGTGAAATTTATAAGCCCTACTAACACTACACACCTCCTCTGTTATTCCCAAAAATGTAAAAAATATGTATCTGGATTGCACCAGAAAATTGCTGGTAAGTAGTCATGAAATTAAGCTTCCCTTGTTATTTTCCTTGTTTGGGAAGTATTAGGGAACATCTGCAGCTAGAAGGTAAGTCCAGAGTAATTTTCTGGCTTTTTCAGCACAGTTCATCCAGTTTTCCAGAGGCTATATAGTGAAATAAAGAACTTCAGGAGAGCACTTAAACAAAGCAAGTTTGAAGCTTTGCATTGAGGCAGCACTCAGAAAAAAAGGTACAATGTATTAATAGAACAAACCTTACGAGGATTATAGAGAAAAGAGAGACTTTCTTTTCAGTTGAATGGCAGTCAATTTTTGAATTAATGTCATGTTAAGAGAATATGTAGCTTTAAATCTGAAATGTATTGATTTTTGCCTCTTTGTCTTATGACATTTACTTTCCAACTTAGCTGGAGTGTCTTCTGAATCTTTGCTACTTTTCATCACGTATTTTCATATACAGACCTAGCAGACATAATCTAGGAGTGAAAGTAGGAAAGAACAGGTTTCAAAAGAAATCTTCCTCTAAAACACAGGCAATATGTTGAGACTTCTAGCATTTTTGTATTTATTAAAATTTTATCTAACCACATCTTGTCCAGAAGTTTGAGACTTATTTTGGATGCATGAAAGATTCCTTTGTTCAAATCCTGCAATAAGCATTATAAAGAATGTCAAAATTTTGTATAATAATAATTTTTGCATTATCTACTGAGGTCGTAAATTAGCCTTTCCAAGGTAAATCTTGATATCTTCCTAGAATTTCACACTGCAGTAAAGCTGTAATAAATGTTTTCTTCCTGACCTTCTCAGCCTATTGAAATAGAGCTTTTCTGAATGCAGAATGTTTTCAACATTAATTGGCATTTGGGAATGTGTGGCTTTGTCAAGACTCAAAAAAAAAAAATCTTTTTTCATGACAAAAAGAAATGAGAAGGTTTTTTTCTCACTATTCATTTATGTCTGTTCTGGGAACTTGCTAAGACAAAGAATAGACAGTTTCAAGTGTCCATGCTGAACACACAAAAGATGGGGTGAGGGCCGTGTTTCATCTCAGGTACCTCTTATCTTAGTAAACACAGGGAATTTGTGGGTGTTCTGAGGTCTCATTCTGACCAAAAGTTTTATCTCAGACATGAAAATATGTCTATGCGAGACGATCAAAATTTATGGTCTTGTAAGGATTTGGCTTAGATGACTCTGATTTTCTAACTGGAAGGAACCATTTTGCCACAATCTTCTGTGCTGGTGTTGGTAAAGATTCACTCATGCTCAAGAGGAGCTGCATGAACTGGCATGTTGCCACTGGCAGCATCTTTAGCACTTGTTGCACACTTCAGTTTTCTCAATAATCTGGAGAAAAACAGCCACTGCCACTGCAAATGGCTACAACTATCAACTAAACAATTTATAAAAGGGTTAGATTAGAATATCAATCAAGATGACAGGTTTTACAAAACTGACCTTTGTAAGCAAGAGAGAACTGGGTGAAAGTCACTTTGCATTCTGAATAATGCTGGTAAACTGCAGTGCAGATACTTCAGCCACTTTGACTGTGGGAACAAATGATCTGTGGTGGGATTTAGATTATAACAAGAAAAGTCTGTCTGTTCTTTCTATCCAGCCTCAAAGCTCTATCGACTGACCTCGGAATTGAGGTTAAAAAAGAATCTGTAATGTTAGCATCTAATAATATTGTGGTGTTACTGTGTTCCTTGAAATCACACTGCAAGTTTATAGCACTTTACAGTGATTTCATATTGATTTAGCATCAGAGGTTATCAAAATAGAATTTAACCCAAAGGTTATGTCCTTTCAATGAGCCAGAATCTGAATTTGCTTCTTTATCTTACTCCCATCCACTAGCAAAATCCTGCCCTAGATTAAATGCTTTCAAAAATAACATCATGAAACGATCAAGACTAGGGAAGAAATCAGCCTATACTTTATAGTAAGGTGGCAGTAGGAATCAGCCTAGCTGGGATCAGCAATATCAAGTTAATTAGACTGTGCCCAGGGCTGGGGCACCTGATGAGGTGAAACTCCAGGCTGCAGCTGTGAGTTTGTGCAATTCATCATCAGGCAGCTGTACTGTGCTGCAGACACCATCACTCCGTGGTCAGAGCTGTGTTTGCCTGCCTGGATTAGGCTGACTCAAACCTGTGATTATGGGAAGGAGCAGCTCAGTGAAGACAAGCTCCAGAAGGAGAATCTTTAGGGTTTATCCCAGTCCTTGTACTTCCTATATTATGCTTCCCGATTGATCCTTTCTAACTCAAGACAGTTTTTTCTTTTGATTGATAATCTAATGTCCAAAAGCAAACAGAATACATCTACCTGGCTCTCTGCATCTTGCTATGATTTGCCAAAATTATTTTGGAATTTGATTTTTTTTCTGGGAAGTCTGTTAGCAGAAAAAGCAATCAGACTTAACAGCGTGTATGTCCTCTAGCAAAACAAAAGCCCACATCTCCAGTATAGTAGGAGTAAAAGGAAATTCAGACAGCAATAAGACTGAAACTTCTATTCTAAGTGCTTTTTTCTTTAGTACTGTGATTCAGCTAATAGTCAGAGGCTCTCTAAACCGTATTCTGCTTGTATTCTGAGATCTGCAGGTCTTATGGTTGTCTTATATGTACATCTGGCTTGCTGTGAGTAGTCTTAATTCTGTTTAAAATGTCATCTACCTCTGATAATGGGTTATTATTCAAGACACCAAAGAACTGATGCCTGTTGTGAAGTGGACACAGCAGGAATACAGCAAACACCATCAGTGGTGTCCTGGATAGGAGAGGAGCACAAAATTCAGTGATTTATTTCTCTGACACTTTATTCTTTAAGGCATTTGTCATTCCTGCTCTGTTTGGGGAGATATTGTCCCACTGACTCTAGGCCAAACTGATGATATTTCATTTGTATCCGCTGTAACTATATCTGTTGAGATTTTTCTTTTCCTTATAGGCTGTTCTTTCTTTTTGTGGAGTTATCTTGGAGAAATGGATAAATAAGATCTATGTGCTGAAGGATTCAAATCCGGTTGTCCACGCCCAGCTCCCAGCCTGTTTGTAGCCTGCCATGGTCTGGGTGCAGAAGAATATCATTCCTTTCACAGAAACACAACTTGGTGGTCAGCCAAAGTTTCCTGTGAGAGACTTTCCTTCAAAATCCCAATGTAAGCAGGAAAGGGAGAGCATGGAAAATGGTGCAGGCAGGAGCTGGGCTGGTGGCCTTGCTGTGACATGGAAGTCTTTCACTGGCTCTGACCTGCTCAGTCTTTCACTGAGCACTGACCTGCTCATAATATGTTCACGCACAGGAATGAAGGTGAATTCCACTTATTTGTCATTCCCCCACTGCCAGTTCTTTTCTGTTGAACTACCAGAGCCTTTGTTGCTGCTACAACTTTCAGTATGAGACACAAAGTGAAGATTCACTAGAACAAGCAGAGATTCAGTTCATTGGTATTATCTGCCCATTTTTCCTGCCCCTTTCTTGTTTAGTCAAGGTTTGCTTCAGAAAATCTTTGAAGCAGACATA